TTCAGGGAACTTGGCCAATATATTATTATTTATATTTAATAAAAATTTTAATGACTCTTTTGGGACTTGTTTTAAGAATCCTTAGTCGACATCTTGAATTATTCCAATTCTTCATAAAGTCTTCTCGTTCTGTCTGAGAGAATGGTTTGTTTCATTCTTCTTTGTTTTGACGTTTCATTTATATTTTTCTGCATTTTATATATATACATATATATATATATTTAAAGGTTTCGCCCAATATGTTTATTATAGCTTTGTTGTCCGCTATCGTGATATTATTTATTGAGAAATGATTTATTGGTATACGTTTATGTTTTCCAGTTATTTTTCTTACCATTTTCTCAAACTGTTTTTCTTAGTTTGCTCACATATTTTTGCCAACAGTCCTTTTTTCCTTCTTTTATTGATTTACGGGCCTTTGCTCTATTTAGTTTATAGTTGGTGAGGTTAGCGGTTTTTAGCTCCTTGTTAAATTTTCGAAGCGCCGCCTAACACAGTCTTATTACATCTTTCGATCCATCATCGAACCAGAGTATGTTTCGTCTGCTTGGTTTTAGTGGAAGCATCCCTTTTGCTATGTCTTTTAAGGCTTCCGTTAAACTTTCTGCCGGTTCTATATTATTTTGAGTTAATAGGCTTTGATATAAATTTCCGATTTCGACCCAGTCGGCGTTGCTTAGCCTGCATCTAAGTGAGTGCTCATCAACCACCTCACTGTTCCTCAAGATGATTGGGAAATGGTCACTATCAAATGAATCATCGTAAACACTCTCAATAAAGTCTCGGTAAATTGCTGGATCACACATGGCTTAGTTCAATTACTGACCGTCTTCCAGTTTCTGGATCGATGTATGTCGCTGCTCTCTGCTTGAACAGTCAGTCAGTTATGTGCCATGCATGATACACACTTAGGCGATCATGTATCTTTCCATACATGACTGACCAGAAAGATTTTTTTTCCTCGCAGTAGGTTCCTATTTATTTCTGCGGTAGACCAGTTACCATCAAAGTCTATAGAACCCGGTCTGTCCTGATATTTACTCATAGCTAGTGGGAGAAGAGGAGAATTCGTACCTTTCCCAAGGATATTAGCACGTAGGTGAATGCAATGGATTTCACTGAAATTCGAACTCGGCTCTCCGATTCCTCAATCCCAGCCGCTATCCATTACTACACCTTAAAAGAATTTTCCCGCAGTTTTCCCTTTTTTTTATCTCCTGGGATCCTCATTATGATTATTAAAATCCTTAACGAAAATGAAAGGTTTGGGCAATTCTTTTATCAGATCTTCCATCTTATCTTCTTCTATCTGGTCATGTAGTGGGATATACAGAGATCACATGCTGACTGTTCTGTGCAAAGTATCTCACGCGGCATCTGCGTAATAATTCTGTTTTTAGTTCAATTTTGCTCTGCGGTATGTCATTTTCTAAGACGGTTACTCCCCCTGAGGCCCTGAGTCCAGTGCTCTGAATATGACTGTACCGGGGAGTTAAGTAGCCAGATATAAGGGGTGATGTGGTCGTAGGAATTGTCTGACAGACATGACTGGGTTCTCCTGCTTGTGTGGCATGGTGCAGAGTCCTGTTGCCAGACATAGGGTCTTCCAGTAGCCACCCTCTTGACCCAGAGCAGTACTACCTTCTCAAAGCACCTGAGTGTAGGAATCCATGTTGGGTCTGAGACCCTGTGGGAAGATGAATGTTTGAATAACGTCGCCATTACTAACGATAACTCTAAACGCCTTCGTAATCACCATTAAACTCATCCAACTTTTTCCGAATCCTCTACACTATCCTCAGATTAACACCTAAATACTCTGAAATGTTCCGGCGAAGGTGTACAGAATGCCGTTTCTAAATTTCTGGCGGAGTGAATTGCGTCATGGTGCTCTTTTTCTTACAGACGGTGCCCAACTGACCCTACTATACTGTGCACTCGACGAAATCAAAAACAAACAACGCGCATGCGCGAAATTAAAAATATAAAATGGCGAAAATTTACCCATCACACTCTGTATTTAACATTTGATTTGCCTGTTTCTTTTTATTGGTCGTGTGCTTCACCACAGCCACAGACTTCAGTTACTATTTTGAACTTACCAAGGAGGCTAAACCTATTCGGCTTGGTTGAGACGCATATACATCTACCAGTATACTATCAGCGAGAGAGGATTTTGAGCCCCTGTTAACTTTTACCAACAAATCTGATGCCTTAATTTGAAATAAGTTTCTTTCTCTTCAATTCGATTCACCTTCATTCACCTCCTAGCTCGTTTTGAAATAAGAAAGGGTTGCTTATTTGATCATCGGGCTTAATTACAAAGGTGGTATGACCAGCCGATTGATCGGATCGGGCCTCTCCGACCACCCGTCTAATCCAAGTAAGGACCAAAAAAGGAGTGTTGCCTGTCATATAGCCAGTTGTAAACCCGGGTCATGGCCTGCTCAACCTCCAGGTTTCCGTCTACAGGCATTACGGGTCGCCACCCACGACAAACAGGTGGCCTCATTGTTGGAGTTGGGACTGACTCCTCTGCAGAGTTGCGGTCGGCGTATTCTACAACCCACGGTGGTTAATAAAATTAAATTTTTCAAATTCAATATGACTTTTCAAGCAACCTAATTGCTTCATTCGGTCCATTGCTGTCTGACATTTTGTGATGAAGAGTTACAATGATTTACATTCATACGATTATCTTCATCTTCATTCTTATTAGCGTAAACGTTTTAGACATCTTCAGGTGTCAATCAATCCTATTAAGCTTCCACGAATTTCCACCTGAATTCTTTAATTAATCGACAGGGTGTTCTCGTTTCTTTATTCAAGTAATGTGTTATATTGGTTCATTCTCTTTAGCACTCTTCTGGTATACATTAGAGTTTTACTATGCATCTCAGGAATTTAACTCAAAAATATTATGCCACCAAATTCAGAAAACGGCGCTTAAATTCGCGAGTCTTGTGTCTTCTTCGGAATCTGTCGCATTTTGGCAAATTCCTGGAATTGTTGAACAGAAACTTTTAACCATTATATATATATATATATTTAAATACTGTGACCATGTGTATTACAGCCACAGTAGAAAAGGTGTTTCTTCGGCAAGATAGCCTGATGGAGCCCAAACCAGGCCGGTTTTGAATTCAGAGTTTTTCCTTCTTCTAGACCGGTTGCCACCTACTATTTAGGGAGAAGAAGAGGATTCTTACATTTCTCAAGGGTATTAGCACGTAAGTGAATGTAATGGATCCGACTGGAATTCGAACTCGACTCCCCAATTTCTCAATCCGAGCCGCTATCCATTACTCCACCGTGCCTCCTCAACCAATCATCATAACCATTATCTACTTCCTAGTGAATCGCCTAAAATTGTCACCGTTAATTCTTCCTTATTCTTGCCTACCTCTCCATTAAGCTAGTGCATTATTTCAATATGACCTTAGAACTTGCTTGGGGTGAAATGCTTAAAAAAATATGTAGAAACTGTCCGAATGTTCTGTATGTCCGAGCGTTTTCAACTATTCATACAGCCATTATCAAGGATGATTTTCTTTTTACTTTTAACTAAATGTATGCATTTTTCATGTACGAATCTAGAGTTATAAGAATATTTTTATTTTCCAAACACTGTCAGCACATCATGGCCGTGTTTATAGTTGATTCTATTGCGTGATGGCTTTTACTTTTATTAATAATGCTTCCATTATTTTTAGCCTTTTTTTTTTACATATGGATGAGTCTATTCGATAATGGTAATATTAACCGTTTCCTTATAAGGAAACATTCGGTATTCATTTTCTATTAGGATCATTTTTCAAGAAAATAGATTTCTCAACTGATATTGCTCTTTCCAGTATTAATGGAGGTTTCTTTCCTAATTTTTTGCCCGAAGTTGTGTAGAATGTCAACTTTTTAATTATATCATTATTTTCTCTTCGAGTTATATGTCCTAACCATTTAAGTTCTTTCTGCTGTAGAAAGTTCTCAAGTGATGCTTCTATTATTTGGTACAGTTGTTTGTCTATGATTGTGTAGCGTCAGTTCCCGAGGTTCGAAGAAGGATGTCCTTGTGCAAATTAATGGAAACAACTACTTTATTTTCCTTTCCTACACCATCTGGTCAGTTTTAAACCCACTGGCGTGACAGGGTGTAATCGATTTCTATTTTTTTCACAGATTAGGTCATTTGCAGTGGTGTGCAGTAATATGAATCTATATTCGGGATGTATGATGAAATTTGTTTGGCCTTGAAAAATATTGCGTCATCATTGATTGCATCAGATTTTTATCATGCCCAGACACTATTGTCTCGACTGTCGATTAGTTGTCCTACGGCCATTGTCTGCGATGGACGTTACTCCAAGGAAGCGTACGAAATTGTAATGCTGCATAAACACAATGGCAAGCTTTACCAGTGAGCAAATCAAAGAACTATCGACTGGCTAGGAAACTCTCCTGATTTAAATTCAATCGAGAATTTGTGGTCAGTCTGACCGTCATCCAGCGACTGCTAGCATAAACAGCGTAAAAGTCCTCGGAACCTATCCCTCGCCCGGAAAGGACCGACATGCGCAACAGATCTCAGTTTTAGTCCGGTTTTAGACGGCCGCAAGAAAATAAAATATTAAGTGCTTGCTGATTACTGAAAACTCGTAGCAACGTAATCTGTAATTAAAAAAATCTACATCCATATATACACACAAAACTTATATAAATTATTAATTTAGTATTACCATGGAATGAATGTAGATAGAAATATCTAAGTAGATATATATATATATATATATATATATATATATATATATATATATATATATATATATATTAAAATTTGATATATTTATAGGGTATTCAGTATAGCAGAGGGAGCGTTTATAGATATAGAGAGTGGACATAGGAATCAACACTGCATTTTGACTGTTGGTTTCACTCCTCAATGTGATCTTGAAACCAAGTGCCGGAGGTGTGAAAATGACAATAATCATGCATTGTTGATTTCTATGCACACAGGCGCTCGCACGCCATGCACTCACACATCTTTATCTATTTATCTATCACAGTCTGTTCATTATCTATCTATCTATCTATCTATCTATCTATCTATCTATCATCGTCTGTTCATATCTCTAAATCTATCTATCTATCTATCTATCTATCATCGTCTGTTCATATCTATTTATCTATCGTCTGTTCACATCTATCTATTTATCTATCTATCATATCATCGTCTGTTCATATCTATCTATCATCGTCTGTTCATATCTCTCTCTCTCTCTCTCCCTCTATCTATCTATCTATCTATCTATCATCGTCTGTTCATATCTATTTATCTATCGTCTGTTCATATCTATCTATTTACATATCTATCATCGTATGTTCATATCTATCTATCGTCTGTTCGTATCTATCTATCTATCTATCTATCTATCTATCTATCTATCTATCTTTTAATTATCCTTTAGATATGGAACAGACAGAAATATATGGATGCTAAAGAAGAATATTTTCAAATAAATGAATAACTTTTCCCAGGATTTTCTCCTATTTATTATATTTATCAATCACCAAATACCGTTGCTTTGGAGCAATGGTTAACAAGCTTTCCTCACGTTTGCAATTCTTTTATCGACTCCGTTAAGCTTAACAAACATTGTCAGTAAATCGGCAATCTCATGCTGAACAAACTGACGAATAAAATTTATTGTGTATCAAAGGGAGATAATCCTTAAAGTCAGAGACAGAAAAAAAAAGAGAAGGCCAATCAGTAAAATCCTTTAGAAGATACTGTTGTTTGGGAGGCGGTAAAGGTTATCCCCCGAGTGACCGGATTTGGGGAGCTGGTAACTCGATCCATCACTGCTTGGAGTTGATTGTATTCAACCGGACGTTTATTTTATTTTTATTTTATTTATTTTTTGACTGCTTCGTAGATTAAGCCCGTGACCTCGCGACCTCGTAATTCCCCGTCATTGCACCTATGATAAAATTAAACTGACTTTGGGCAACGTCTTCCCTTTTTAAACTTTGAGAAGATGATCATACATAAAAGGACAAGGCGACAGAATAGAGTGGTCAGGAGTGGATGATCAGTAAAATAGGGTCATCAAGATTAGGGGCTGTCAACAGGCGATGGGCCCATAATCATCACCTTTATAATTATATAGTCGCCTATCTTCAGCTTTTTTTTTTTTTTTTTTTTTGGTCACCTTTTATAATTTGCGGGGGAAGTGAAGAAGTCATTCGTATGGTTTGTGTCAGGAAGATGTGAAATAAAAAAAAAGATACGTTTGTTGAAGTGAATAAAGAAGGATAGAATGACTGATAGAATAACAACGGAACAAAAGAAAGGAAATTTATCTTAGAAAAAGAATCTTTATTTGAAAAAGACAGCGAATGCGAAAAAAAAAAAAAGACAATTTCCTGAACGATAAATTCTCTGGTTTTATAAGAAAATTAAAAATATAACAAAATATAAGCAAAGATATAACAGTCATTTTTTTCACAGCGATGTTCCCACTGTACAATTCCCGGGAGCCACTCAAGATAGAGGGTTAAACAGCAAGACTCAGTTTAGGAGAGGAAGATAATTGTTAACCCTAGCCTTGAACAGGTTAAAATTGTAGTGATCGGGGAAACATCCTCTTGGGAGCTTGTTCTTTAGGGCAGTGGTTCGTGTGAAGAAGATGTTTGGAACTTATTTCTCACCAATAGAATATGGAAGATATGTGGGTGGATTATGTGAGCATTATTGAAAAAGAAGTTTTCAAAAAAATTCTTAGTACAAAAGTTACAGACAAAATATATATAAATACAGTAACAGTAAGGTTGACTCTGTATAAAGCCCGTGGGCCACTCGAAATAGAGTGTTATTTAGGAGGCGATTTGTAAGTATAGAAGAGGAAGGTAACGATTAACCCTAGATTTGAACAGGTTATAGTGATCGAGGAATCATCCTCTATGGAGCCGATTCCACAGAGCCGTGGTTCATTGAAAGAAGCTGTTCGAATGGAACTGACTTCTTACCGATGGAACACGAAGGAAATGTGGGTCGTTTGCTACAATGTAAATGGCTGGTCCTTGCCGCGAAACTTAGGCCTGGCGGGACGATGGAATGTAGTTCGTCCGAGCACTTTCTGTGATAGAAGCGATAGAGCAGCGAGAAGTTCGCTATATCCCGTGAGAGAGATTTAGTGATTTGGTTAGATATATTAAACTTAATTCAAGGATATTACCATTTGGATTTACCAATACAAGGGAGATAACTTTGTATGGTAAAAAGGTTATAGGCATTACAAAGTGATACCTTTCAATGCAAAGGACTAAATCCACAGGTTTTTTATTCTCTTTCGTCTACTGATTGAGGTTAGAATGATTATATATATATATATGTGTGTGTGTGTGTGTGTGTGTGTGTGTAGAAAAATAGGAGAGAACACGTTAGGTAAATAATCCGGAGTCCTTTAGTATTTTTGCTTTTATTTTTTTTTAAAAAGTGCTTCATATAGAAGTAGAGCTTAAATTATAATTATTTTTTTTAAAATATGCTTCCTTCGCTACATAAGAGTTCTCATGTTTCAAAAACAAGAGCCAAAAAAACTCAATATAATTATTAAAATTAAATTGAATTAAAGTATCATGCCCTGTTTACCCTTAAGCGAAAATTTACGTATCTTTATAAGCATGTTCATTCGCAAAATTAATTACTATGGAAACGACTGGAGCGACCATTTTGATAAGGGGCATAAGAGTTATTTTGTATCCACATATCAGTCACCTTCGGAAAGAGGTCAAGCGAGGCAGGGCCGGAGTGTCCATTTCAAAGCGAATGATGGCATTCATGTACGCACATCGTCTGGTCAGTCACAGCAACAGATAGCTGTTGGCACCATAATACGTCGTTAAGTGTCTGAAGAATTTTATTTTATTTTTTTATTTCCTAAAGAAACATGAGAACTCATATGTAGCGAAGTAATCATATTTTTTTTAAATAATTAATATATATATATATATATATATATATATATATATATATATATATATATATATATTATAAATTAATTGATTTAAAATATATGGTTTTTTTTCGGTATTAATGCTCCGTAAATTTACATTGAGCACTATTTTGTAAAAATGAAAATATCTATAAGAACACCGGATTATATATCTTACTGTTCTTTCTTTATTATATATATATATATATATATATATATATATATATATTAACAGTCAGTCATTATCCTAACAAAGACTATGTAATGTAGTATCGCCAGTAAAAGGATATAATATTTAGTACAAAAGTTAAAGACAAAAAAATATATAAATACACTTCATGTATTTTTTTTAACAGTAAGGTTGACTCTGTACAAGGCCCGGGAGCCACTCGAATTACAGAATTACTTTAGGAGGCGGATTGTACGGATAGAAGAAGGTAACGGTTAACCCTAGATTTGAACAGATTAAGATTATAGTGATCGAGGAATCATCCTTTATTGTGCCGATTCTACAAAGCCGTGGTTCGCAGGATGAGGCTGTTCGAATGTAACTTCTTTCTTACCAGTGGAATGCAAATAGAATGTAGGTAGTTTGCTACAATGTAAGTGGCATAGCGGATCCTAACCGTGAAGATTAGAACTGGGAGAACCAAGGGACGTAGCTCGTCTGAGCACTTTCCATATATAAGACAATTTAGGAAACTCTTATTTTAGTGTTTGATAATTTAAATCTTTTAAGGCGTCATAATAAGAGGAATGGCAGAATTTGATATTGTGAAGATATATTTCATATATTGAGAGAGAGAGAGAGAGAGCTAGAGAGAGAGAGAGAGAGAGCTATATTTAGAGATACTATTTCTTTTTAGTTGCCGCTTCGACCTCTGTACGCCTTGGGTTTTCATCAGATGTCGGTTGCATTCGATAACTTTCTACAGGCCGATGTTGCCCTCAAAAGTCACACGAAAAAAAAAATCACGGTAAAACGTCACATGAATAAAAAATCACAGGAAAAAAAGAAACAGGGCATTTTAAAACTTGAATTAAATTTTACTTGAATTTTTAATTTATTTAATTTAGGAGACTGGAATTTTTTTACACTTTTGGATAAGGGGCTGGACATATATATATATATACATAGATAGATAGATAGATAGATAGATAGATAGATAGATAAATAAATAAAACCTTTGGTTGGATCCAGTGACTTAACCCAAAAGAGTTGTGAGTTCAATACCTGGCTACTGCAGTGGTGAACCAAAACTTGGAAAGTTGAGCTAAAGGGAGATAACTGAGACACCCAGAAGAGGCAAGACACGTGGAACTAGAACAATCTACACAGATCAAAGAAATAAAGGATTCATTTCCAAATCCCAATCACCTGAAGAAGGACGGCGCGTACAACGGCCGAAACATCGTGAATATGGCAACAAATGCAAAAGTTTTGATTTGATTGATTCATTGTTTACAACTTATCAACCTTTTACAGGTTATTTAAGGCTAAAAAATATTTTTAGATTCTAAGAATTTTTGAGATAATAATAATTTACAGATACAAATCCCACTAATTAATCTATAGCTGGGGAGAGAAGAGGTGGATGCATACCTTTTCCAAGGCTATTTGTGCATAAGTGAATATAACAAATGTAACTTAATTTCAAACTTAGCTCTCTGATTCACAATTCCGAGTTGTCATCCGTTACACTGACCGTACACCTAAGCTTACAGCACCTGAGATTCCCAAGCAGTCACCCATCTAGCTATTGACCAGACTCGACACTGCTTAACTTCGGTAATCATACGCGGGCCAGTATTTCAACTTGATTTGGTTGTAAGTCTCTTAAATCTAAAAGATCGTAAAATAGTTAGGGTTAGGTACGTATTCAGTACTATCCAGGATTTTAGACATGTAAGTGATCGAAAAAGAGTTATGGTAGGGGTATATAAACCTAATTCTTTCTCGATCTCTATCGGCGCCATATTTGTTATAGCTTTTATATTGTGGAATTAGTGAGTACAAAAAAAAACTTTAAATACCTTAGTGTTTTGAAAGGTTTTAACACTTTTTGTATAGGAGAAAAGGATATTGAATATATAGCATCGGCGGTGGAAGAAGTATCTTCGTCCAATAGAGTGAACTTGTCACAAAACCATTAACCTGAAAACTCGCGTCATCTTCTTAAATAGTCTCATCATCTCGAGACTTTCATATGAACGTCATAAATCTGTTCAAAAATCACATAAACAGTCAACTGTACACAACTGCTTTCTCAGGTCAATGGTTAAAATGGCTTCCAGCGAATGAAGCCCGTAGCGAGGACCATCCTTCATCGAATCTAGTTGACTGGCGCTACAGAATCACAAAGAACTATGCCAAAATAATAGAAACCGCATCAGCGACATTCAACGACAGAACAACTAAAATGAAACACGATATTTATCAAAAGGCTCTATAATATGTATATATGTATGTG